TGGGGACATAAACCAATACAAATGTCATTACTAAACCTCAGGGGGTTAAAAACTAAAAAAACAAAAAACTGTAGAACTTTAAACTCAGTTACTGGCACCGAGTATAAATGACAAAGCAGCTTTTCAGGTTAATCGTTGGTGAAAGTGTGGTCATTTCAGACTTCCTGGCTAATCCTCGGGTGTTATTTAAGCGTGTTAAATCAGCAGCTGAGGCTGAGGTGTGTAAAATCAGTGGAACAGCTGAAGTGAGTGGTGGCTGGCTTTGTACGTTACATAACGACAGCAGTGGATGGTCTTACATGCCCATCATCTGGTGACACGCGTCAGTTTGGATGACACTTGCGCTCTGTAAACAACACTGAGGGCCAGTGTTCCAGCTAAATCCCCAATAATTCACATGAACACAATCACTGCTTCACATATATACTCACATACATGCAGCCAGAGCACAAAGACTGCTGAGTGACGCTCTGGCCATTTTAGGCCAACTGCAGCTGTTATGACACAATCTTGTAGTTAGTATTGTTCAAGAAGGTCACCATTATTCGAACAGTACTGTACAGTAGTGTGTCTCTGTGTTAGGTCGAGAATTGTCTGAGTCGTTAGCATTGTGTCGCCCTCTTTAACACATCGTGACATCTGCATCATTTTTTGGGGGAAGAATGACCTCTTTGTTGGAATGGCCTCCCAGTTCATTGTCCAGCAGTTTAAATGTCGTCAGCTGGAGAATTGTGGACTGCACACCCCCTCCCCACAGCTTTGACAAAGGGGTGACTATAGCAGTGCTGGAAGCAGGTTGAAAATTCTATTTACTAGGGTTTGAATCGAGGAAGAGGTCTTGGGGGGTTCCCTTGGTGGAAAGTCTGACTGTGAGGAGACTTGAATATGTAGATATTATATTTTCACAATATTTTTTGTGAGGTTTACTCTCTGAAGTTTTTTCACAAGTATTAACTTGGCAGGAGTCATTAACCTAATATGCATACCAGTATACATGATTTTTATGCTTAGGAGCATGGCACATCTAATATCTCACCTTTCCTCAGGTAATTCATTAAAACATATTATTTGGGTTGTAAAAACTGATTTAGTTGTTGGCAGACTGGTTTGGTGGGTCCCATAGGAGGTAAAGCCAAATTACAATTCAGTTCGCAAAAACAAATGGGTAAAATTCTGTTTGCATGTGGGTCGTTATGCATATACTTGTTAACCCATGAAACGACAGCTAGTTTACCTAGGACCATTACCCATCACATGTCCTCAAACCGCCTAAAATGAAAATTCATTGTTAACAAAAACATATTTGCGTATGTCACGGCTGCTAAGAGTGTTTATTTTCTGTGTTCATAACTGCAGCTGACTTTAAGTCAAACAGATCTAAAGTTTCTTGGCAGTTGAGATGCACTCAAGCTTTAAGCTTCACCGGTTTTGAACCATCAGAATTTGGCGCAGCTCCTGTCGAAAGCAGCTGCCTGCAGTGTTCAGCTACACTGTGTTTTGTTCATTTTTATAGTTCACAATAAGTCATACTGTGTCCTGAACCACATCAACAAGTCTGTGCATCCTTAATGAAGAGCTGGATGTGGTTTGCGTGGGTTGAGAGAAGTTTTCATGCTGTATTCACAGAAAAGATTTGGGTGACCTTTGACTTCGTGTTTCTCAGCCTCGCATGCTCTGTTATGTAACTAAAGGAGCAAAATTTGGAAACATGCCTGAGCTGACTACATCTGGGTTAAGTGGAAAATTGTGTAAATTAGATTTTTCACTGTTCTTTTAAGAGTCTGTCTTTTGCTGGGTGTTTCAGATTATCTTGAATGAACAGATAAGAATAAGATAAGATCAGAAAATAAACAGTAATCTTTCTGTAATTATGGGCTCTGTCTGGTTACAGTGCTGTGAAAGGCTCCATTTGGTGTAATTTAAAGAAAAGGAAACGGAACAAAACAGCCTGTTAGGTTTGGAGCGGCAGCACTCATGAAAACATGGGTTCACTGAAAGGAAATTCCATTCATTTTTGAAATTTTCTGCCTAATTCAATCTTTGTCAACAAAGTCAATCAGAGTGGTTTGATATGAAATGCTTCGTTGTAGAGAAACTTACTCACTCAGATTTCTTTACAGTGGTGGTGATAGGAACCAGGCGTCACAATGTGTACAATACAAATGTAGCCATTTTATATGTTATCCAGAACCTCCAGTGAATCTCAAAACTGTCATAAAACAATATCTCAGACATCAGGCAGCATATTCATAACTATTTCATGTATTAATTTTGTGTGAGGGAGCTTTTAGAAGCACTGACGTCTTCAGACGTCTGGTTCCTATCACCATTACTGTGAACAATTCCGACTCGGCATCTTTCTCTAGAATGGAGCGTTTCACACCAAACCACTCTGAATGACTCTGTTTACATCTTAACCATTTAATTATGTGGACATTTTGAGAAATCAGTGGAATTTCCCTTTAACAGTGTTAATGCAAACTTAAGTATCATGTTAAACATGATTCTGTGATATAAATAGAAAGAATATGATGTTATTGGTACCGCCCTGTGCTCGAGCGATAGTTTACCATGTCCCCAGTGTCCTCATACGAGGGGAAGATGGGGACAGTCGAGTTGGTGACTCATCTGTCTGCAGCAGTGTGACGTAGCAGTCTGCCCCCCCACCCCACTTTCTCTTTCTGTCTTTCACCTCCGAAGAAATGTAGGCCACAGGAAAAGCGGAGGCAGAAAAAGGAAAACTCGAGGCTCCACAAAGCAGGTCACGGTTCGTTCCGTAGAGTTCGGGAAAGTCAAGCCGCTGCTCCCCAAAATCAGTGCCTCCTGCTTTGATCCCCAGGCCCCAGGGATTTGGCCCTCAGGCTGCCACTGAGAGCCTTTTTTAAAAGGGAGAGAGAGCATGGAATGATAGGACTGCCTTTGTGATGGTAATGAGCTATTAGGAGCTCTGAAAGGCATCCCGTTTGTTTGTTGGTTTGTGGTTTCTAATGAGGTTGGGAATGCGGACGGGAGCGAGGGTTTTAAGTTAATCCAGCCGCTCGTCTCGTGGCTCAGAGGAAGCTCTGTCAGCAGCACAGCGCCGTATCTCACAGAGCGGAGGGCCCGATCGCTCTCGGCCTTTCAGTGAGAAAAGCGCTTTATGAAATATACAGCTGCTCCTCAGCTCAACGTGCCGGCTTTCTTTATGAATTCTTTAGCACAAGATATCCCTGAATAATTCAGGAGAGACTAGCTGTGTAGCAGCAGATCGTTATACAGTAGGAGCCCACTCACACACACTGCAGGCCGGAGACGTACGGCAAACTACAGGGACTGGTTTTTATGTGTAGTGGCTAATTTTGCAGCACTGCCGTCTCAAAGTCCTGTAAAAACACAGGAATTAAGAAACAAAGACAGGATTTATAGCATGATTATAGAAGAAGTGATGCATGTGGTGGATTCAGAATGAAAAGAATTCCATCTGAATTCCAGTTGTACACAAAGGTTTGGCAAAAAAAAAATTACGCATTTTTTATCCCCTCATCTCAAATGTAGTCAGCCAGCCAAAACCTCTTTGGTGGCCGAAGTTTGGCGCAGTTTGAGGCAAGTGGGTAATAATTTAGTCATCCAGTTTGCACAATGCTAACGGGAGACTGCTTCCATTACTTGTTAGCGACATTAGTCTTGTAGCTCCAGTGCAATCAGGGTGGCCACGTCTGGCAAAAAATCTCCAGCCCAATTTATGCCATTTATTTAAACCAACCAAAAGCTGGAAGTAGCCTAAAATGTATCCCCAAGCATGTATTGTAGTATGTACAGTGGTAGGTAGTACTTAATTACAGTAACTCAGTACATTTACTCAAGAAAGTTGTAATCTGTTGATAGATTTGTACTTTCTTGATGGTATGTTTATTTTAAAGCATGCTGGTGAGAATTAGTTCCTAATTCCTCTTTCGGGTTTAATTTCATTCCTTTGTGTTGGTTCAGTTCCTGGATTGCACTTGTTTACTCACTTTGCTCACTCGCTCTCTTTGGAGATGGATTCCAATGAGCAAAGAATAACACAACAAATTCATTTCCTGTTCTGATAATGCTGGATATACAAAGAGGCTCCACTGCAGTTATTCAAAACATAGAACTTCCTTTTTTTGAAAGGCATTTTTACTGCAGTCATTATTTCACCGTTTCACCAAAGTAACAGTCCTTTTTCTGGAGTGTGGATTTAGGTTTCATTACAATTTGTCTAAATATCTCTGCTAAGTTTCTTTCATCTACTGGAACTAAGGCTTATTTTACTTTGTGTGCATCCATCCTTCTATCCATCCCTCCATTCATCAGTCCATCTGTTCGTTCATTCATCCATCCATCCATCCATCCGTCCATTCCTTCCTGTCTCATTTAGAAGAGTCATCAGGTTGTGGCCCAATAACTTGTCCTCAGATGTGCCACTCTCTCTGTCTGTCTGTCTGTCTGTCTCTCTCTCTCTGTCTCTCTCTCTCTCTCACACTCTCTACCTATCTACTGGAACTAACTAGCTAAAGCTTATTTTACCTTGTGTGCATCCATCATTACATCCATCCATCTATCTATCCATCCATCAATGCATTTATCCATCCATCCATCCATCCATCCATCCATCCATCCATCTACCCATCCTTCATTACATCCATCCATCTATCCATCCATCCATCAATGCATTTATCCATCCATCCATCCATCCATCTACCCATCCTTCATTCCATCCATCCATCCATCCATTGTAATTTTCACTGGCAACTATGTTTTCAAACCAGCCAAATTTGGCAGGAAAACTGCAAACCTGGCAACTCTGAGTGCAAAACTAAATAAGCAAACTTCAAAACACCAAACACGTCTCCAGTAACTGACTACATTTCAGCTAAGAGGAAAAACTGTGTGCCTTTCATTTTTCTCTGGGCCATCACTAAAATAGAGATCAGACCTTTGAAATGTAAACGTAGCGAGTTTCATCGTTGGCTCACTGTCTTTCTCTGCTCTTTCAGGCTCAGGTGGAGGCTCAGAGGGCCACACAGGAGTTCCAGAGGGCCATAGAGATCCTGAGGGCAGCCAAGGAGACCATCGCTCTGGCCGAGGAGAGGCTGCTGGAGGAGGACAGCCGACAATTCGACTCGGCCTGGCAGGAGATGCTGAACCACGCCACCCAGAGGGTGAGAGAAAGATGCAGTGGACAGCAGTTAGTTCAGGAAATCCTCTGTAAATGCTGGAGTTCTAACAACGAAGCAATGTTCTCTGCATGTTCTGACTCAGTGGTTCCCTGTTCTGGTCCTAAAGTACTCCTGTCCTGCACTTTGTCCTGCTCTAATACAGCTACTTCAACTCAGGAAGGGATTGTTAATTCACTGATCAGTTCAGGTTGGTTAGAGCAGGAAAGACACCAGAGTGCATCATAGCCTGACTCCTGGAGCTCATCTCAAAGATGAAAGCTTTAAGTTCTGTTTATCTGATGGAGATGGTTTTGTTTAAGGCGCACAAAAGTAAAGAGTGGACAAATTAAACGGATGTTAAGTTGAGTTAATGACCATTTTGGCTGGAAACTGAATAAACGAAAGGGTGGTCTTTTGTGCTGCACTGTAAATGTGTGAAACCACATACTTTCCAAAACAAGAAATGCTACAAACCATTCCTGTAACTGAACTTGATCCTGTCTTATGACTCATGTAACCCTTACATGACCTCCTGCAGGTGATGGAGGCGGAGCAGAGCAGGACCCGCAGTGAACTGGAGCACAGAGAGACAGCAGCCAAATACAACGCAGCAATCAGCCACATGAGGCAGCTGGAGAAGAAACTCAAACGCACCATCAACAAGTCGCGGTCAGTACTCTTGTGTGCCCCCGTGAGTCGTGGTCACTTTAAAGAGCCCATATCCTACACTTTTCTCGTACTGTCTGAGGTCCACTTATGACATTTGATGTACCAAAAACATAGTTAATTCATACATGACCATTGCCAACCTCTCTTTATACTTTAAACAATGTTTTTAGTACTGTCCCTTTAAGACATACATGTAAATAATCTTTCTTCTGATTGGCTGCCCAACAGATACCCTGTATTGTCCTTTATTCAAAAAGCAGCCTGGGCTGAAACACTCATTATGAATTCAGTAGGCTGAATAGGTGGATATATGTAATTGTGTTGCGTTTTGTGACATCACAAAAACATTAAATTGAAAATAGGCCATTTTTGCAGTATTGTCCCCATATATGGACTGTATGGAAGGGCAAGAAAAGAAAATTGAGTTTTCCATGATATGGACTCTTTAAAGGCATTTATAGTGCACTGGCGTTATTTCTGCACAGTAATATGGCAAAATGGATAATATGAAATATGAAGTAATGGATAATGGTAATATGAAAATGGGCATGTGGAGACATTTCTCACAAATGTATTTATTAAATGTGTCTCATGGCATTTCAGAGAAAATGTACTGAAATTTTTATGTCGAACTTTACAGAAGGCCCAATCTGCTGTAGTTTCGTTTGAGCAACAGAACTGATCATTGTTCTCTTCTCCCAACAAAAAAAGAACCCTCATGGATGACAAATTACTGGTTATGTTATGAAACATTTGTCCATTTCAGCTGGACACAGTCAGGATGTATATTTTTGCAAAGTTGGACTCATTTCAGCCTGGGTTTTGGATTTTATCCAGTTTTTAGTGTTTTATTTGTCCAGCCAGGGCAGAAAATAACACATTTCTCTGCGTTTGAGAACCGAACCCTGTTTCCAGTGTAAAAAAGCCCAGTTCCTTTAGGTCCTTTTGGTTCTGAACTGTGCTCTAAGCACTCTTAGTTAAACCCCACTAGCTTTGTCCCCGTGAGTGTCTGTACACTCGACTGTGTGGGGAAGTGGTGAATATGTATGTACTGTAAGGTTTCTCCCCACTCGGGCCTCTCTGTGTCTAAGCTGCGCTGTGTTGTTGTACGCTGGCCTGCTGGGCTGAGCTGATGTGCTCCAGATGTGCCGTCTCTCACTCGCTTTCTGCTCAGGAATGTGGTGGCCGAGTGTTGTTCTCCCGGAGCTCTGCTGTTGCCATGGCGATCTCTTCTGCACAGCGCCTGCAGTTACTGTCGACTCAAACGTGTCTCTCTCTTTTTCTCCCCCTACAGGCCATATTTTGAATTAAAGGCCAAATATTACCTTCAGCTTGAGGTAGGTACATTTTTATTCCACTGGTTATTTTTCCTGCTGGGTTTGGTTTTCCAGTCATTGACTAAGTTGCTCTTTAACAATAACAACAAAAAACAGAGTAATATTTAGTCCAAACTGTGATCTTGACTGAAAGACTCGAAAACTGACTCCTGTAGTTGAGTTTCATCTAGTACTGAATATTCATTAGCTTTCCTATACGAAAATCTCATATATGACCGTAGATGTTCCTGTATTTGACTAAAGTAAATATATGCTTAAATGTCATATATTTATATTATTTTGTAGGCACTGTGAATATAATATATGCACAATTACTGTTTATTTACTGAATTTAACATATTGGGAAAAAACATAAAAACACATAAAATATGACCTGTACAAAAGCTGGCACAATTTGTATTTTCACCATATTTAAGTTTCACCAGATTTATTCATTTCTTCATTCATTCATTCATTCATTCATTCATTCATTGGGAAAAGAAACATTACTTGTATAAAGCACCAACAGCTTGCGTTGAGTGCAAAAAATGATGCAAAAAATTATTTACATATATCTACATTTAAAGTACTTTATATATGCACTTATATGTCATGTATAGGAAACCTATATGTTGTTATATATCATTTCTACATATGTTTTGAAAGACGAAATGTGTTAACTTTGCCCCCAAAAGACTAAAGGTGCCACTGTACAAATGTGAGAGTCTAACAGTGATGCAAATTGCCGATGACTAAAATTAGACAAAAGGAAAAAATGGGGAGCAGCAGAAAAATAAGGTTTTCTGCCTATGAGAATTGTACGTGTGTCAATGATACATGCATGTTACTAAAATACAATAATTATTCAAAACCAGTTAATGTGACAAGGGTCTTTCACTGGTTGAGTTTCTCATTGTCCATTTCTACACTTTGATTATTTCTGACCTTTGTTCCTTCCTTTGCACTTAATGATGTGTCTGTATATGTTTCTTTGCTAATGGCACTAAAACAGAACCGTAACTAAACATTTCTGTGAGCACACGTCTCTGTGTACAAGATAGTAAAGAACGTGACTTCTTGTCCTGCAGCAACTGAAGAGGAGAGTGGACGAGCGGCAGGCTAAGCTGACCCAGGCCAAAGCAGAGTACAGGACAGCGCTGCGCAACCTGGAGACCATCTCAGATGAGATCCACGCTCGCCGGCGCCTCTCGGCCATGGGGCCCCGGGGCTGCGGAGTGGGGGCCGAGAGAGACGGGGGAGCCGGGGACGACATCGCCAACTTCAAAATGGAGTCAGATGGCATATCCAGTGAGTGACCTCCCCTGCTGGAGGACAGTTAGGGTTCCAGTCAGGATCATACATACATTGTCTATTAAATTTACAGAGAATTAGTCATTGACCTAAACGTATAAACCCTGCATACGATACACAGCAAAACACAACATTTGAACATTAATGTAAATAAAAAATTTAAATTACTGAACAAGACATAACAGCCTAGAGATGCTGAATATTTTACAGTAACCTGCCTGATGGCAGCATCTGAAATTCTGAGTGAAGAGGATGAGTGGAAGTATAGATCAGGATTTTTAAATCGAGTAAACATATGCCCCTGCCGCAGTTTATCGATTGGCCCATGACTGTTTTGCATTATGGGAAATGTTATGCTTTAAGGAGTGTGATTAATAAGAAAAGGGTATAAAATAGTCCACTTAACACACAGAACATATCCTTTGGCAGAAGCACAGACCCATCTTTGTTGAAGGGGAGAAGCAGTTCTGCGTCATGCATTAGAAAAGAGAAACAAAACATTTGTTTGGGACTGTTGATACGGTATCATGCTGCTGTTGATACAACATCAATGCCAAAAGGAGGGTGGTTCTGAACAGTGCTCGCCTGTTTCTAAGGCTACGTTCGAACGTTAGCCCAGTTCACTGTATAGTGCACTATTTTGGGATTTTGTGGCATCCAAAGACATAATGGTGATTATTCAGTGCACTCTTACAATCCCACAATGAACGATAGGTAGCGTACAAACAGTGCAGGGATTAGTGATTTGGAGACCACTTCTGTTCTCTGTAATAGTGTTCTGTGGTACTCTAGTGCAGGGAATATTGATTAGGGGACCACTTTTGTTCCCTATAATAGTGTTCTGTAGTGCTCCAATCTAGGTAATAGTGAATAAGGACCATTTGTATTTCCTGTATATATTTTACATAGTTAGTTATATATAGTTATAACTATATTTTATAGTTCTCCAGTGTAGGGAATAGTAATTTAGGAACTATATTTGTTCCCTATAGTGTTTTATAGTGCTCAGTTGTAGGGGATAGTGAATAGGAGACCACTTTTATTCCCTTTAATAGTGTTCTATAGTGCTCCAATGTAGGGGATAGTAATTAGGGACCATTTGTGTTTCTATAATAGTATTTTATAGTTCTCCAATATAAGGAATAGAGATTAGCGGACCACTTTTGTTCCCTTGAATAACGTTATATAGTTCTCCAATATAGGGAATAGTGATTAGGGACCATTCCTGTTCCCTGAAATAGTATTTTATAGTTCTCCAAAATAGGAAATAGTGATTAGGGGACCACTTTTGTTCCCTACAATAGTGTTCTGTAGAGCTCTTATGTAGGGAATAATTGTTAGGGGATCGTTTCGGATCTCTGTAATAGTGTATACACAAATACCTTGATTTTCCACTGTAGGTTATAATGATTAGGGGACAATTCAGAAAGTAATGAAAGTATGAAGCCATGTGGGGCTCTGATGCAGGTGTGTGTTTATTTCAGTGATTTCTGAGACCTTCGAGGAGGAGAGCTGTAACGGTGCTGCATCAGAAGAGGATACAGAGACCCAGTCCACCTGCAGCTTCAGCTCTAACTCAGCCCCTCTGGACGTGCCCTGCCCGTATCTACCCTCACCTTCCTCTCCCTACCCGCTGCTTTCTTCCTCCTGCCCTTTCCCCTCATCGTCCTCTCCCCCCTCACCTTCACCCTCACCCTGCCCTGGGGATCTGGAGCTGCCCGAGCCAGACTCCCTGGAGGGTTTTGGCCTGGTGTCGCCTGTGCTGGGCCCTCGCAGTGAGTGCAGCGGTGCCTCTTCGCCTGAGTGCGACCAGGAGAGAGGTAACTACTGCTCATGCAATGCCTCTGACCTTTTTACAATTCAGTATATGTAACCCACTCCATTTGAGTCACTTTGACCCAGAGCCACATTTTATACATTACGGGGAAGTTCTCAACTTTCTGATGATACAAATATTAGAATATTTGAAGATTGTCATGAAACTTGGTTTATACACATTTATGCAGACATAAGGCAATATTGGCACTATGGTGCCGAAACACATGTGAGCACATTGGCATTCACATACAATTCTGACACCAGTGTAGTACTGTCTTCATCCTACAGGCGAAACCCTGTTATTGCTATTGATACAGTTGTATTGTGTCTTTCAGCAGCTACAGTTATTCATCATGGTGGGTGAGGGGGAAAAGAAACAGAGAGAGAGACTAGCAGTTAAATGCAGCAAGCACATCATACTAGAGAATCCAATCTATACTTATTCTCACTTTTACAGAAATATTAACATGCTACACTACAGTGCCGAAGTCTGAGGCCACCCTGTGTTTATTAGAGTTTGAGTCAAAACAGTCGTTAAGTACAACATATTCATTGTTCAGTGTCAGGAAAAAAAAGGCAGGTAACTTACTTAACACAACATCACATGGAAATCTGAACAACTAAATATATTATTAAATGTTTTTAGTATTTAGTGTGTCCACTCTTTGCCTTCATATAGCTTCCATACTTTCTGGGAGACTCGCTTTCAGTTTTTCAAAGAAATCTGAAGGGATAAATTGTATTTTCTGACAATCCAAGTATCCCAAATACATTGAACAGTGTGTTAAGGTCTGGACCCTGGGGTGGCCAGTCCATTGTTCTCCTTTTCTCAGTTAGGCTTCTTGGCACCTACACATCCTTTCAGACCCATAGCGCTGAGTTGTCTTCTCACAGTGGAAGGATGGATGTGGATGTTTCAGATCTGAAGCAGCTTGATTTTCTCCTCTCTATCAAAGACGAAAGCTTTGTGCTGTTTATCTGAATGTGCTCTACCAGGTCTTTCATGGTTGTTGAGTCCCATTCTTTCTAAATTTTTAAATAATTTTTGAAGTCCTTATTTTCCTTTGACTTCCGCTTCTTTACGCTAATGGATTACTTTATATCTAATCTCCTAAAAATGAATAACTTGTACTTGATGTTTTGACTGGAAATTAAATGAAGGGTGCTCTGACTTTTGCACAGTACTGGATGAAATCTGAGACTATATTTCATATGTAAGTCAATAAGTTTTGACCTAAAATCTGGTTTCTACACTAATAATCCAGGGCCAACGCTGACTCAAAATAGCCAAATGTGCTACATACTGGGCCTCTAACTGCATATAAGCGTGACCTGTGCTTGTGTATGTTTTAGGGGAAAGGGCAGAAGGCGCAGAGGGAAGGCCAGAAAACACTACATCGGCGGGCAGTCAGAAAAGCACCACCTTGGAGGACAGCATGACCCGCCTTTCTCTCAAGCACACAGAAAAGAGCAAGGTGGAGAGTGGACCTTTCACTGTGAACCCCACACCGCCACCATTGCTGCTGCTCAACTCTGCTTAAAACAGAGGAAGGACTTGATCACATCTTCAGTATTTGTGCCAAACCGTCACGTGTCGAAGGAACGTCTGTGTCCACCTCCGACCCCCTCCTTCCAGACTGACTCTCTTGGTGTTACGGACTTCCCATTTCATTGAAGTTTGGGGGAAAGGGATGGTTTTACAAGGAATCCAGAGACAGACAGTGGTAGGAACTGGTGGTATGTACACTGAGGAGCCAGTTGTACCTACACTCAATGGCCATTTGATCAGAAACACCTACCATGTGGGTGGACAGTTATTGACTGTAGCTCGTCTGTTGCTGCACAGTTGATCAGCCCCCCAGCTACTGCATCCATCAATAGAAAGGGACCAGGATTGGACCACCACTAACTGGACATTGTTTGGATGAACTGTTCTCAGCACAGCAGTGACACTGACGTGGTACATGGTGCTGATACAAGTGCAGCTCAGTACAGACATCTGTCTGGATGTCACCGACAGAATGGCCACATCTACCTGTGTGTCCAGTTTGCACACCCCTTTGCAGTGTTAATGTATAAGCTCTTTGTTTTTTTGACTCTGTGGGTGCTGTGTTGTGTAGCACTTATAACTCCAGCTAAGCTCCTCCCCTCTCTGTATTTAATCCTATGTGTTACTATGGAACATTGACCTAAAGTAGTGAAGAGCTCTATATTTATATTCAGCATTCGTCTCATTACCGTACTTGACCAATGTGTTGTCACGGCACATTATTGTTTATCTATGTAATAAACATAGGCTCATGCCACAAGCGGCACTTAATGTCATCCTTCTGGGTCACATGGTATTAAACAGCAGCACTTTTTCCCTGCATGCACTCCCTCTTTCACATCCTAGTGAGAACACTGTGCTCCACAGGCCTAAAGTTTGGGAGCAACACTAACTTTTACTTTTAAAATAAACATGAAATGATTATTATTTTAAAGGGCCCATAAGTTGGAAAAACACATTTTCTTCGCTAAGATGCAAAACACTTATTTTGATTTCACTGTTTTTGTGATAAAAACAATTTAAAAAACAATTTACATATACCTGCTTACTAAGCCGCCCTGCGATAGACTGGCGACCTGTCCAGGGTGTATCCTGCCTTCTGCCCAATGACAGCTGGGATAGGCTTCAGCACTCCACCGCGACCCAGGAGGATAAGCGGTTTAACCCCACCCATTAATGCTACAGTTATATGGAGTGATTCAGCCTCGACTTTTTGAATGAGGCCTGCCAGGTTGGAAAATGGTCAGGTAAAAATGAATTATGACACATAAAGCCACACAAACGTTATAAGTGGACCTCAGGGGGAAAAAGATAAATGAAAAGAAAAAATGTAGGATAAATAAATCTATAAAATATATTGGAATGTAACAGGCTGATAATCATAAGATAGTTTTCCATCCATCTCTTTCATGCAAATGTTGAAAATGTAAAAAAAAATCTGGATGGAGAAGCCAGGAGTTGAAAAAATTGTTTAAATTTTGCAAAACATTTTTTTACACTTGGATGAGGTGGAAAAGTTGGTGTATAGATAAAGAAGAAAACAGTGATGGAAACAGATTTATGCTCATTCGTGACGTTACTAAGCTGCCATGTAGCGTCCCACAAATTACTTTTTTGAATGTACTAAGAAATGTCAACTCTGCGCTATAGCAACACATTTGAGAGACATATTAGTTCATACACTGATCAGGCATAACATTATGACCACCTCCTTGTTTCTACACTCATTGTCCATTTTATCAGCTCCACTTACTATATAGGTGCACTTTGTAGTTCTACAATTACAGACTGTAGTCCATCTGTACCTGCTCTGTGAGGGTCCATGGGGGTCCTGACCACTGAAGAACAGGGTAAAAGGGGGCAAACAATGTATGCAGAGAAACAGATGGACTACAGTCTGTAACTGTAGAACTACAAAGTGCACCTATATAGTAAGTGGAGCTGATAAAATGGACTATGAATGTAGAAACAAGGAGGTGGTCATGATGTTATGCCTGATCGGTGTATGTTGGTTTTTGGTACAATTGACCTAATTGTAAAATATTTTTTTTAATTTTCTATATTTTAAAATTGTTAAATATATTTTAAATGAACTGATATTTTAAATCTTTTTGTGTGGAGTTTGCCTGTTCTCCCCGTGTCTGCGTGGGTTTCCTCCGGGTACTCCGGTTTCCTCCCACAGTCCAAAAACATGCAGTCAGGCCAACTGGACATGCTAAATTGCCCCTAGGTGTGAATGTGTGTGTGAATGTGTATGTCTGTCTGCCCTGCGATGGACTGGCGACCTGTCCAGGGTGTATCCTGCCTTCCGCCCAATGACAGCTGGGATAGGCTCCAGCACCCCACCGCGACCCAGAAGGATAAGCCGTTTAGATGATGGATGGATGGATATTTTAAATCACTGCTTTCTTCTGTACTTTTGGCTTGTACAACAGCACAATGCACTGGCTGTGGCCTAATCAAAATCACAGACCTCACCACATGCCTCACATGCAGTCTTAGACATACATACAGGTTTTTGGGGGATGTGCATTTGCACCCATTGCTCCCTCATCCAGTTTCCAATGCTGTGCTGACTTTGTTTTCCTCCTGAATCTGACTACTGTTGCTGCTCCATCTTATGACTCCACTTAAAGCAGACGGCTGGTGCAGCATGAGGACCTTACAGACATGACTGAGATACGCATAAAGAATAATGCTGTTTCCATCATTGTTGAAGATTTAAGGTGTATCCTTCATCACAGTACTGTCTGAGAGACCACGCTTCATTTTTTTTATCTCCAGTTGGGCCATTAAATACCAGTTACTCATTTTTCAGCATCAAGTAAAAAGCAGAAAAATGTTGAAAGAATTCACACAGAAGCCTCAACAACTAAGTATAATATGACATTTGTCTTCATTACAGCCTCCATTCATTTCAGGAGACTCTCATTCAGTTTTCAAAGAAATCTGCAGGGATATTTTTCCACACCTCCAAAGTTCAGTTTTAGAAGTTGGTTGAATTTTCTGCTTTTAATGATCCAAGTAGTCCCAAACGCATTCAGCGATGTTGAGATCTGGACTCTGGGATGGTCAGTCCATTGTTCTGAGAACAGCAGCAGCTTCTTTTTGTTCTTTATGCCTGTTTTCTCAGCTACACATCCTGTCAGACCTATAAAAATGAAAAAATGAAAGTCTTAAGCACTGTTTTTTAGGTGGGGATGGTTTTTGTGGTCTAAAGTTTTGAGGGCGCTCTGAGAACTTGGGCTAGAGATCCGGGCAGCTCCTGCTGGGAGTTAGAAGGCTGGGCCCCCCCTTTTTGGACGATGGTAGGACTGACAGATGGGACTGAGGAACAGAGAGGAGACAGGCTGGTGGTGGGGACTGTAAAAACTTGGTCATGGTAAACGAAAGGTAAAGAGGAGATTTTCAAGGCATTAGATTGGAAAGAGGAGGAGTTTCAGGCAAATTGAACTTATTTCATAACTCCATTTAAAAACCGTTTTGACTAAAATAAATGAAGGGTGGTCTGAATTCTGTACAGTAGGGTACTGCTCATTATCACAATTCCCATTTTAACAGTTGAGCTAGAGCAGGGGTTGGCAACGGAACCGGATGCAGCTCTTTTACTGTCTTGTTGTGGCTGCACAGCAGAATTAGAATTAGATTTGTAGGTAAAAATAAAATAATCCTCCTTTACAGTAAAATAAAGCTCTGCTGATCATTCAACACAGTTTAACAATAAATGGTCTTAAATGTTGGAGTTGACGTAGAACTAATCCCCCCTTTAACCCTGAAGATTGATGTGCAAAAAGGCAAACAGAAAGATTTAAGACGAACATCACTAATTTGGAGATGAATGGACTTACTAGCATTTATAATCACTCAGCTGGTTTCCTGATATGTTCAACCTGCAACGAGAAACTGTCAAACACTAAAAAGTCGCGAAGATGAAGTCAGCTTCTCATTCAATTTTTTCTGTTCCACCTTAAAAAGTGCAACAGTTACATTTAAGGTGGAACAGGAAAACTCAAACAAGAACATGGCGAATGAGAAGCGATTTCAGCCTCGTAAAAGTCAAACATTGGGAGACATTTTACAAGAAACCATTGTACTTTTGAGGAAACGTTTCCTGCTGGAGATGCGAGAAAAGTGGATATAGCTGAGCTAAATCTTAAAGCTGAGTGAAGCAAGTCTGCATTTTTGTTTATATTTTTTAGTCTATACTAGCACATCAGCACATACTGAGACATATTTACAGCCAAGACGGTAAAACAATATCTAAATAAAATGGACATAAAATGTTGTGGCTCTTCTTAAAATTTGGGTTGCCGAGCCCTGAGCTAGAGGAAGAAAGACAATGTGAAGAAAGAGTAGCTAGCATGGACAGCTAATTTACAGGGTGGACTGCATCAGTATCAGTTCAGTTTAGTACTATATTACATCACATTAACCTATATGCAGGCTGTATTATCATATATTGTACCTTCCTCTGTGGAATCGGCTCATGGTTCTCTGATCATTTATTTCGTGTCTGGTTTCAGCGCCGCTCCAACAGTGTTTTGCTGACGTCTTGCGACATCCACCGTCTGATCTTGCACATGCGCAGACTGAGAAATCTGAAAGAAATCAGAGTAAGAGTTTACATGCAGTGAGAAATCTGATTACTGAGCTAAAATCCAGCTCTCTTTATCGGATTTCTTAATCGAATTTCTAGATCGGAGTATGGTGTTTACATGACCATTTGAATAATCGGATAACTGCAGAAATCCAATTATGATCTGATTATTGAGTGCATGTATACGCACTCGATAAGAAATTTTAACAAATACACCTTCTTGAGGCATCAATTTAGCAATATTGGTTTTTAATTCAATTATTCAGGAGTCGTGTCACTGGTGTTACCGCTTAACAAAAATATATTATTTTGAAATAAAAGTCACACTGATGACATCACTCGACTTCCTTTTACCTGTTTTCTGAGGATCTATGAAGAAAAGCTCATGGTGAGTCCACTGTGTCTTTCAGTTATCAGAGATTTTCTCATTTAGCTCATGATTTCATATGAAGCTTTTAGCTGAAGTCACTGGTGTGACCGACTTTATTCTGAGGTCATTGTGAAAAAATAGAATACAAATGGATTAAATTACATATTTTAGTGGATGTTCCATGACTGACAACATGTGGTTTGATGCTCTGTAGCAGCCTTTTTGTAAAATGCATTTTTTATCAAAAATGTCTCTGGTGTTACCTTTCTTATATGGAACACCAATGAGGATCGGTAACACCAGTGACACCTATGGAAAGATAGAAAAGTGGACCTTTCTGTAGAATGACCCTTTTATGTGTGTACAACTGTTCAAAGTTGTGTTTGCTAGTCATGTACTGGCTAGCAAACACTGGCTAGTATGGTTGTGGTGTTCTGCTCAAACTTTGCTAAAATTGTCACTATAAAAACAGCACATCTGGTAAAGTTTAGGTGTTATGGTTGTTTTGGCAGTGACAAAATGGAGTGTTACATTTATTTTAACTAAACAGAATTAGAGTTATAATGTCACTGAATGACCCATATTAACTGGATGATCCATATTAGCATTGCGCAAATGGGTCATTCTACAGAAACGTCCACTTTTTTATCTCTCCATTGGAGTCACTGGTGTTACTGATCATCACTGGTGTTACACATAAGAAAGATAGCAACAGAGACATTTTTATTGAAAAATGCATTTTACTAAAAGGCTGCTACAGAGCATCAAACCACATGTTGTCAATCATGGAATATCCACTAAAATATGTAATTTTATCCATTTGTATTCTGTTTTTTCACAATTACCTAAGAATAAAGTCGGTCACACCAGTGACTTCAGCTAAAAGCTTCATATGAAATCATGAGCTAAAGAGAAAATCTCTGAAAACTGAAAAGACACAGTGGACTCACCATGAGCTTTTCTTCATAGATCCTCAGAAAACAGGTAAAAGGAAGTCGTGATGTCATCAGTGTGACTTTTATTTCAAAATAAGAGATTTTCTGTTACATGGTAACACCAGTGACACGACTCCTGGGGACCACAACTTTCATTATATATTTTATAATATTTATTTGGCTTTTGTTTTCTTTATGTCATTTAATTTATATATTTCATAGTCATGTATAGATTATTGCATTTAGAATTGCAGAAAAACGTGTTTTTTTTCTTCAAAATATGGCCTCACCCTTTACACACGACTGTGGGGACGAGCTCTTCTGTGGTGCTAAATTCATGGCTGAAGAAGGTGTAATTGTTAAAATAACATATTGCTTTATTTTAAAATATGAATTAATTGTAACCCTAACGTTTTTTTTAAGTGAAATATATCTCTAAACGCTAGGGATGCAAAAATGGACGTTTCTGTAGAATGAGACACATTTACTTCTTAACAGTGGGATCTTACTGCTCACCACTGCAAAGGTAGTTGTTTACTATCATTTTAAGAGATGGATAGTTCTCCACTGCCGAGTCATTTTGTCGGTTGTGGCAGGTCAGTATCTCCCAAGGCTGGCAAGTTGTGACATGCCTGCAAAGCTCTTTGTGCTTCAGTGTCTCTCCCACACTGAGCAAAGACATGTTTCAGTACCTTCATATTATCTGGGAGCCTTGACCTTAACTTATTTGCTTAGGAGAGTCTCAGTTCTCAGTGCTAAACTATCTTATCCTGAAATATGTATGAAGCTAATGCTTATCAGTAGGAACTCTGAACACATCCGTTTTAGCAGGTTTATTGCTTTGCTGCAGACTGACCTTGTAAGTTTGATTAAGCTGGCAAACAGTTTGAGAGTCTTCAGCCCCTTCGAAAGCTTTGACTTCACTTAAAGAACACTTTATAATGGACACAGGATGGTTTGTGGATTACCCTAGTGAGGCCTGGGCAATATTTATGAGTAATATTACTATATTTTCTTGTTAACAAAATGGGATTATTGTTTACATCCTCCCACAAACACGGTCCCTTGCAACTTAGACCTACTTTCTATGCTATCTTTAGATTATATGCTTTTTAGGAATAACTGATTTAATGAAAAAAATGAATGAAATCAAATATGAAAAAATATATATGGCTATTACATTTTGTTTGGTTACACCTGGGATGAATATCTAACAGGTACACACACACACATATATATATATATACACACACACACACACACACACATGGCTGTGTCAGTATCATTTTTTAAAAGAGTCCCATTTTATTTGGATAGCCTCCTATAGGTCTGAAGTTAGTTCAAATTATTAACAAACTATCTGTTGATTCTCAGTACGTAAGATTATGACTAGGCTGAGTTTAGGTTGAGGGTAAGGGAAAGTAAGGTGAATTTACTAGATATTTAAATGCAAATGTGGTATCTACAAAGCATCTGCAGTGGGTTATCCAAATAAAGCGCTAGTGCATTATCTATTTTGCTCGGAGAACACCCTGGCACTGACATTTCAGATGTGGACATTAATGCGTTGAAACTATTATTAATTAAGTTACATTGTTTACAATGATGTTTTTAGCATCTTCTTAAATTTTAATTTTAATTGTCTTTGTATTTTCTTATTTGTAAAGCACTTTAAATGACCGCAGTGTATAAAACATGCTACAAAAACAAACCAGCCTTGCAGTAAAATTATTGACAAGAAAGATTTTCACGTTAAAACCAATAAGGAACGCGGAAGTGGGCGGGACAAACATTAGTGATCACTGATTGGTCGTTGGCCGCGTTGGGCCTAGACAAACTGCTGCTGATTGGCCGACCATAACGTAGCATAGGACATTAGCAAAACGTCGCTTTCTTACTTTTTTACTCTTTTACTCCTTTACTTTAAGACATAAAGTCTGTAAAAAGTGGCCACTAACTCATCAAATATTTTACCGTTTAAATATGAGGTGACTGACCAATGATAGAAGAGGACTCAGTGACAGGCACGAATCTTATCCAATCCAGTCGCGAGTTGGCAAGCGAGGGTGATGACGCAAGCGCTTAGGAAAACTACCCCCATAGTATTTTACGGGTTAAAAACACGCCGTAAACTGGAGGCGATTCAGTTCATTTTCATGTTTGACACAGTTTGTAGCCTGTATTATATTTTTCCACCTTAAATGGAGCAGCAGGTTCATCCCGGCGCCTCAGAATTAATGTAAACATTAATCGGACCAGTTAGTCTGAAGTTACCTTTGAGCTTTTGGCTGCCAGGTCAGGTAAGACACGCCGGTCATGGCGTTTTGTGGATTCACAGCTGCTGTTTTAGCCGTGTGGCTGAGCGGGGTTCACTCGGTCAGAGCAGAGGATCCTTCTTATGTCGCTGCAGTGTACGAGCATCGGGTGGTCCTGAACCCCGACCCCCGAGAGCCTGTGGAGAGGAGCGCTGCCCTGGAACACATGAACCACAACCTGGACGTATTTGAGGAGCAGACTGCTTTAGCTGCCAAACAGGTGACGCTGAACCAGCATACACTTTTAGAAAGGTTCTTCAAGGGTTCCTCAGTAATAGGAATGGTTATATTTGGAACCATACGTTCTGTATATAACCATTTCATGCTCATATATGATGAAATGATTCTCAGATTGATGGAGAAAGTGTTGTATATGGTTCTGTATAGCACCAAAAAGGGTTCTTCTATTGTTACAAGCTTGATATAACAATAGCAGAACCCATTTTGGTGGTATAGAACCATGTACAACCCATCCTCCATCCATCTGAAGAACCATTTAACCATGCAAAGAACCATTTAAGCATGCAAATGGTTCTTTGAGTATTCATGGTTCTATATAGAACCACTGTCTTTACTAAAGAACCCATGAAGAACCATCCTTTTAAGCGTGTACAGTGCTGGTGAATATCTCACTGTGGAGAAATGTGACCTAAACTGAACCTGAACTTACTCAACAGGGAGCCCAGATCATAGTGTTCCCAGAAGATGGCATTCATGGATTCAACTACACCAGATCATCCATAGCAAGTTACCTGGAGACGGTGCCCGACCCTGGACGTGTGACATGGAGTCCGTGTGCAGATCCCGACAGATTCCAAAACACAGAGGCACAGTGCTCATTAATCTGCCTACTCAGTATAACAATAACCGCAGTGCTGAGCGAAAGTCAGACTTCATTTCTTTCATTTCTGATCAAAACGGCCATTTAGTACCTTCATTCATTCATTTTTCAGTGTCAGGAAAAAAGAAATATTTATCAGAAAATTATAAAGAAGCCTCATCATCTAAATATGTCATTCCCTACTCATTCTTTTCATTGACTTGCTTTCAGTTTTTAAAAGAAATCCACAGGGATATTTTTCCACACCTCCAAAGTTCAGTCTTAGAAGTTGGTTGCATGTGACTCCCAGGATCCAAGTATTCCCAATCACAAATTTAGACTCATCAGTCTATAAAACCTTACTCCACAGTAGATCAGATGTTCAGTTCAAGCATGTTTTCTCTTTCTCAGTAAGGACGTCTTGACAGCTTTACATTGTTTCAGACCCATATTGCTGTCTTCTCGTTTTTTCTGACACTGAAAAATTAGTATTATGCACTTAATGGCCATTTTGAATGGAAATATAATAAAAAGAAATGGACGTTTCTGACTTTTCCATAGTAGTGTATAAAAAATGAATTCACAGTGATCTGAATATTAAGACTTTTATTATATCATGGCTATGGAGAAACCATAGCCATAATAGTATTACAACTATTTTATTATAGCAATAATTATGCTATAATAAAATACTTAATACTTAGTTTTCAGAAGAGTGCTGTGGAAATTCATTTAATTTTCCACTCTTGGAGAATTTTGTTTGACAATTAGGCTACATAGTTATATTTGCATGGTCACATTAGTTATATGTGGCACCAGTTTGCATTCTAAAGAGAGGATTTCCAGCCTTACAAACTCACAAATTATATAGAAAAGTTTCACAGTGCTTTAAAAAATAAGGGTCTTAATTGAGTTCCTAGTTCCCATATTTGATTGTTTTGGTGTGAGCAATGCAAATGTAATTAATGACAACTGTTTTCTTCATTTAAAGGGAGCTAAATGAAAAATGACATCACTAACCAATCGCTGCTGTCAGAACAAAACCTCATATCTCCAAAATAAGAACTTTACAGGGGAAAGGAAAAACGTACTCTACTTTTAATGCGTCAATTGAACCAGACTTTTTGCCAAGTCATTTTGGGTCATTTCTTTTGGTCCATTCATCACGAAATTTACACACAATGTAAAGGGTAACAAGTTTTGTTCTGACAGCAGCGCATTACTAAATCTGCCTACTTGCCTTTTAACACACGTTTAACACAACCCATCTTTCCTCAGGTGCTCCATCGTCTGAGCTGCATGGCTCGTAAGAATCGCATCTTCTTGGTAGCCAACATGCCCGATCGTCAGGTCTGCGACAGACTGGTGGACCCCCTCTGTCCACTCGATGGCCAGTACCAGTTTAACACAGATGTTGTTTTCAGCAACAATGGCACCATCGTAGCCAGATACCATAAACAGAACCTGTACTTTGAGGCTGCCTTTGACACCCCTCCGAAGTGCGAGTATGTCACTTTCACCACCCCGTTTGCAGGTCGATTTGGGGTGTTCACCTGCTTTGACATCCTGTTTCGGGAGCCGGTTGTGACCCTTGTGAAGGACATGGGCATCAGGCAGCTGGTGTATCCGACGGCTTGGATGAACCAGCTCCCCCTGCTGGCCGCAGTGCAGTTCCAGCGCTCCTTCTCCTACTCAGCTGGAGTCACTTTGCTTGCTGCAAATGTACGAGCTGCAGCTTTTGGCATGACGGGCAGCGGTATTTTCACTCCTTGGGATGCTCTTCACCATCATGACATGGTTGGAGAGACTGGGAAACTGCTGGTAAAGAGAGTGCCTGTCCTGGATCCCTCTCTAGTAGGGGATGGAGCAGGGAAAGCGAGGCTGCTAGTGCCCTTCTCTGGCCATCCCAAAGCTGATGCAGCAGTAGAGGAATCAGAAAAGGAAGAGCCTTGGTCTGCCAGTACTTTCTCTCCCATGCAGAGTGGACCAGAGCCAGGGTACTGTCCAAAAGAGGACTGCAGTGAAGAACCTATTCCCTTTACTTCAACAATGATGTATGACAATTTCACCCTGGTGGCACTCCAGGGCAGAGAGGGGAATCTGACAGTGTGCGATGGATCATTCTGCTGCCACCTGCTGTTCCAGAGGAGGACTGCCGAAGGAGAGCTGTATGCACTGGGGGCATTTAATGGGCTCCATGTGGTCCATGGGACGTACTACTTGGAAGTGTGTGCCTTGGTCAGATGTATAGGGCTAGAGAAGGAGAGCTGCGGAGGAGAAACTGAGCATGCTCAGACCCTGGTCGACTTCCACATGCATGGGACCTTCAGCTCTGAATATGTCTATGCTGGAGTGCTGGGTAGTGGCATGACCACGGACCGCCCTGACCGTTCCGGCTGGGGGAGCAATGGCACATTCTACATGACCAGAACAGGAATGACCACTGGACTGGTGACAGCAGTATTGTATGGGAGAGTGTATGAGAAGGACAGTATGTAAGCAGCATAGGAACAGTTTGGCAGATCAAATTTACACAAGTTTCACATTTGATTTTTTTTTTTGCTGGGCTATTGCTTTACAGGGGAATTCCACCTGCTTTTTTCACAATTTATGAGTAATTAAATTTATGTACACAAAGTCATTTAGAGTGGTTTGATGTGAAATACACCCTGAGAAACTTACTGAGACCATATCGTTTACAGTGGTGGTGGGAACCAGATGTCTGAAAAGGTTTAACATGTATCTGAAAGTTCCCTCATAGACAGTTATTACATTAATACACTGCCTGGCGCTGGACACGTTTGTTTTACGATAGTTTTAGGATAAGGTTTAGGTTTGAAAGTACATACATACATACATACATACATACATACATAATCTAAACAGTTTATCCTTCTGGGTCGTGGTGGGGTGCTGGAGCCTATCCCAGCTGTCTTTGGGAGGAAGGCAGGATACATCCTGGACAGGTCGCCAGTCCATCGCAGGGCAGACAGACAGACATACACATTCACACACACACTCACACCTAGGGGCAATTTAGCACGTCCAATTGGCCTGACTGCATGTTTTTGGACTGTGGGAGGAAACCGGAGTACCCGGAGGAAACCCACGCAGACACGGGGAGAACAGGCAAACTCCACAAAGAAATGACCCTGGTCACCCAGCCGGGAATCTAACCCAGGCCATTCTTGCTGTGAGGCGACAGCGCTACTTTAAGGCAAAACAGTGTAAAAAGAACTTTTTTTTGGATTTACTATTATGAATAGTTAGCGTAGGTTCACTAGTAAGTTCACGTAAAATAGACCACATTATATAGCTTTATGTATTAACGTCACGCACAGGCTCAAAAAAGAAAGTGGCTCGATGTTTAGGTCTCCAAAATCAAACATGAGTTCTTTTTGAAGCTCTTTCAACGCACTCGCAATCATCAGATTCATCCATTTGAGGAAGGGGTTCAAAACACAACTAGTGTTACAAAATGTTCTTAAGCATGCTGCATACATTTACACATTTCCACCAAATCCCCAAGACTTACGTATTGTAGCTTTAACCCCTGTGTGGTGTTGGTGTGTTTGTTACTCAGCGGTCTGGTGGACCCACCACATTATTGGTTGTTTAAATCAATACAGTCATAACAATTTACATAAAAATACCAGATGTTTAAAATATCACAAGTGTCCAGCGTAGGGTTCTCCTTTAGCAGCTGTAGCCAGTCAGCAGCCTGTCCATGTTGTCCACCCTCTCTCACACACACACACACTAACAGAAGCCATGTAGGAGGAGAACAGAGTGAAGGACACAGCACCTCCACACTTTTACTCCCTGTGGGTTCAGCCCAACACCACGTGTAAAATAAATGTCTGGGGGGTGAACAGAGTGAAGACACTGAAAATGGGTTATTTTATATGTTCTTCACAGAAAATGAGCAAAGGCCAAGGAATCTGGGGTTGAAATAATAATAAATCGCATCATTTTTAATTTGGTAAACATTAAAAATGGGTCCCACAGACCTGAACACCACACACGGGTTAAATGATCCAATGTGCGTCTAATGTAGAGCTTATCCTGATGACGTGACCAAAAAAGTGTAATTCATGATTTATTAGTAATCATTTGAACAATGCACCAAGTGGGCAGGTCGTAGACCTACCCTCAAGTTTCTCTGCAATCTTATATAAAAGGCAATTTTTTCTTAACACACACAAGCATTCACACTCTCAGCCACACGCGCACAAATCTATACACTCATCTTTCCTCTGTTTTGAGTTACAGTATACCAAATGCTGTGATTCACCAAAGACCAGAGCTGAACATGTAGAAACCCTGTCGGCACCTTGATGGCTGGTCTCAGACTCGTAGGTAAGAAATGTGTGACAAGGCCTTTTTAAGAAAACTTCCACTAAAAAAAGGTCTTCGATCAATCATTCACTTGTGCAGCAACAGGGACTGAAAATTTGCACTTGACAGCACTTTAACATTCACAGCAGTCTAAGTCTTGGTTGATCTTGTTTGCAATAAATTAGCCATAAAATCAATGAAGGAAAAAGGAAAAAGCAACCCTAAATGAAGTCATGCTGCTTCAAAAAAACCTGGTTGGGGGATCAACTTGGTCCCATTGGCTGGGTTCCACAGCCTTCAGTTCTAATCGTTCATGCTTCCTCCTCTTACTGCCGGAGAGGAGGTTTCTGGGAACTGTAGTCCCACAGTAGTCGTCATGAGAGTTCAGTCTACCATTAAGGCTATGGTCCTCTTCTTCCAACAATGGGGAAACCAAAATGCGTCTGAATTTTAAAAAGCCTGTTGAAATAACGTTTAGAGATAAAACCCATGATGACTGTTGAAACAGAAGCCAGAAACTGCAGACTGTAGTGTATAAGGTCAACCATGTCCTTCTTTTTCTCCAGCTCTATCAGTCTCTAAAGGCTCCTGAGACATTGGCTGTACAGGCGTAAGAGGAAAGGGAACCCACAAAAGTGGTAGTCACCATTATCCCCAGTTCAGCAATAGCTTAAAGGAACATTCCACACTCAGTCCATCACTTTAATGTGTGATTCAGGACTATAGCGTTAGCTTCTCCAACAGTCCAGGCACTCTGTAGCTGTACAAAACAAAATAGTAGAGAACTAGTGGCCATTTGGCTCGGTGACTCTCGGATTAAGAAGTGAAATTTCGTCCTTAGTAGAATAAAAGAAATCACACATTAAACTACAGATTCTGCGTAAAGTATTCAGTACGTCTCAGAGTCTGAGTCGTTGAGTTCATCGTCGGGGACAATGAGGCCGTCCTCTCGGCCCAGGCTGTTGAAGCTGCAATAGGATCCGTGCTCAGAGCGCAGAGCCGGTAGAGGGTCGAAGGTCACCGCCTTGGACGGGCTGCAGTAGTGGTTTATGGCGCTGAAGGTGAGGCCTGGCACGGCACCAGCACTGCCGGGAGACACGGGCATCATGGTGGCCAGAATCAGAGCCAGGCAGTCGGCCACATCTTTGTTCGGGGCGCAGGCTAAGGCTGGGGTATAACCTGACAAACAAGAGCAGCATTAAATCAGTCAGTTTCAGAAACTACTATATATGCTTTAATACGTAGAATTTGCAGTTATTGTTGGTGATATATTTAAAAAAAAAAACCCTGTTGTAATTTAATATTAAAGGGGCACTCTGGCAAAAATGGAAATTTTAACCAGCCTGACAAACAAGAACAGCATTAAGTCAGTCAGTCTCAGACACTACAATATATACTTTAACACTTTGAATCTGCAGTTATTATTGGTGATATATAAAAAAAGCCTGTTGTAATATTAAAGGGCACTCTGGCAAAAATTAAGATTTTAACCATCGCTTCATCTGCTAAAAATGCCTGCTTACATCCTACAGTGGTGCTACAGTAGTTTCTAGTTAAAATAGTAGGAAAACCCCCTTCAGATGATGCAACTTAAAGATTTCTTATTGCTGTCAGAAGGATTCCCAGTGGTTGTTGGATGTAAACATATATGGACAAAAATGCAAAAACTCCAGTTACAGGCTGGGATGCCCCTTTCATTCTTTCTGAAACAAGCTGAGAAATTCTGTTGAAAGTCTGGATTCTAAACTTTTGCCAAATTTTTAGTAAGTAGAGATATTTTGTTATGATTTTAATTTATGAAAAGTTACTGTGCATGTGGTCTTCAGACTTGTTTTGTGGAAATGCCATCCTTTATTGTTTGACATCAAAACAATTTTGTTGCATGAACACAATTATCAAGACTGGTCCTCACCGTTCTCATCCACAGCAAGCACACTAGCTCCTTTCCCCAGAAGCTCCTGCACCACCACTGTGAGCCCATTGCGAGCAGCAACATGCAGCGGCCTGGGAGATGGAAAAAGATACAGACCCTGATCAAGGGTTTCATGAAGAAATGAAAAATGTTCCACGGAACAGAGAGTGTCTTCATGTGTGGCTTAAAGTGCAGTGTATGTAGCTGATACGTACGTCTGTAGAGCTGCATTTGTGGCATTGATAAGGTTCCTGTCTGTGACCTTCTCCAGAATTAACAAGGCACTAGTTTCATGCCCCTGGGGAAGAAAATTACAGTAAACATGAACATACTTCAGGACAAAAAACTTCACCCTAATAGTAGTGTTCTTTCAATGTCACTAAGAGAGGCTTGTGTATTCTGTACCTTGCCGCAGGCTAAATGCAGGGCTGTGTTCTTATTTGCATCCTGTAGAGTGAGGTCCGCCTTCGCTCTACTCACAAGTACTTCTGCATAAAAACAGAAAGTGATTTCAGCACCCACATCAACTTCAACATCAAAGCTGCCAGTTCAAGTATTATAAAATCATTCCCATGACTGAAATGCTAAAGAAAGCACTTGTCTATTTGATGACTAATACTGCTTTAACCCCTGTGTGGTTAATGCTGGCTGGTGTCTATATCTTACCAACGGCGTTGGTCTGGCCGTTCTCAGCAGCCATCATGAGGGGCGTTTTGCCCAGTGCGTCTATGGCGTTCACCTGGGCATTGTGGCCCAGAAGAAGCTGCAGGCACTCCACGTGGTCTGTGTAGGCTGCTGCATGTAGGGGCGTCCTGGTCCAGGAACGAAGGAAAAAAAAAGCTTCTTTTAATGAACTGATGCAAAATGGGCATTTCCAGTCATTAAGATTCCAAAACCAAGAACAGATTCCTTCTAATTTCCAGGAGGAAAGGGAATCTACTTTATTTTGTTAAAAAAAAAACATTTCCTTTTGAATCAGTTCAATTGACTTCAGATGTATGCAGCTGGATCTGGAATTAACTCTAGAAGTTGTAGAATTAAGTGTTGGCAGCTTAAAGTACATAGAAAAAAACATGCTTGAACTGAAGTGCCATGTAGCCCCATCCTAACCTGGACTTGGAATCTGTAGCATTAACTATAGCAGGACCCAGCGTGTCAATCAACAGCTCAGCTGCCCCTTCGTTATCACTGATTCTGTAAAAGGAGACATCAGAGAGAACCTTCAGCGTCGCATGGACAGACAGTCCTTCTTCTGTGAAAATCAGAACTATAAAACTATTAGGAGTATAAGCTGGTTGCTCTTACACAGCACAGTGAAGTGGACTAAAGGAGTTGCCCTCCATCTTGTGGAAGGCCTCCTGCTCTAACAGCGCCTCAACGCACGTATCGTG